AATAGAGACTTTCTTATTGCTGTTAATTTTCATTCCTCCTCTTTATTGTCCCAAGTGGATTTTGAAACAATATTTGGCAACACTTGATTTTCATACATTCCCATCATACATCTGTAGGTTTTTCTTACATTTACAAATTTCCTCAGATGTATTTTGGCTTAGCTTTCTGTCTGAGCAACATCTAGCTATCAAAGCATTTTGATTGTCTCACTGGAGAGGATTTGAAAACTGAAAATAAAAATCTGTATATTTGGCTGCAGTATGAGTTTATGTCTGTTAAACACACAAGAAAACAGCATAACCTTTACTTCACAACTAATACTTCCAGAAAATAAGATGCTTAATTAAAAATCATACTAGATCTATTGGTTCTTAATTCTGCAGGTCCCATGAGTGTGCATTGGCAGGTATATACAGATAACGTCTTGTTGTGATGAAAGTTCAAAGTATCTACATTAAATGGGAATTGTATGGTTCAATACACATTAATTCCCTTTGTGGATGTTGACATTTTCTATTAAGTATTTTTTAAACATACAGTCCACATATGCAGAGATTTTTTTTTAATATAGCTTAAGGCTGTGAGCAATCGATTTTGTGGATGTTTGATAGTGAAGCCAATAACCTTTGTATCAAGGATTAGGTGTATAACAAAGTATTCCAGATCTCAGGTAAGCATCCTACCAAACAGACATCAAAATATCCTGGGTGTAGCCTGCCTGCCTTCCACTTCCACTTCCATTTCCACTTCCACTTCCACTTCCACTTCCACTTCCACTTCCACTAGCATATTTAACTATTTACCAGTGACTTGAGGTAAACTCTGAGGAGATGAGACTGAGTTTCTGTCCTCACTCCCATGAATGCTGAGACACATCCACACAACAGAACGCCTCAGTGGGTATGACCAAGAATATCTCACGCCAAAATACCTTATAGTTTGGTAGGTAGGGTACTGGTCTAGGAAACAGGAGAGGTGTCCCAAGAAGAAATAACTGAATGTGGTCTCCAGCTTCCCTGAGCTCTCTAATCGAGAGGCATTAGCTGGCAGGAAGTCCCACAGCTGAATTGACTTGTGGGACTTGTCCCCCAACTTCACCCCATTTTCGAGCACCACATTTCCTCTTTGTCACAGCTCAGCAATAGTATATGCTGTGATGCCCTGTTCTAGGTACCTGTGAAGAAAGAAAACGAGCAAAGCAAAAGCAAAGAGGTGGAAACATGCAGCGCACTGAAACTGGGGACACAGGGGTCAGTGGGCAAGACAAAGAGGGTGAGGGAGAGAGCACCTCTGAGTGCTGAACCTATGAACTAGCCACATCTATTAATGCTGTGCTGGTTTACCCAAGCTATAAACTGGAACCAGCTTGGGTCCAGCAAGATTTTGTGGTTAAAGCATGGCACCGCCTGTGCTGGGGGTACCCACGCTGTTTCCAGTCCAGTGTGCGAGCACAAGAGCCCCTGTTACCTCTCTGCACCATGTCCCTCAGCACTTCAAGATTTAGATGGCCTCTTAGCTTGAACGTGGGGCCAAACCCAGTCAAGATTTTAGGCTGCAGTGGATCAGCACTGGATGCTTTGTGCCAACCCACCCCACAATTATCTTAAATTGGCTTCCAGTCTTACAGGACCTGATGCATGTCAGCTGTCTCTGTAGTTAAGAACCCACTGCCCGCTTCCCAAATTACCCCAAAATAACAGACGTCAGCCTTTTCATGTCCCAGTTCTGGGGCATCACCACATTGCATCAGACCTGCTTCCCAGTCAGACAAGGAAAAAACAGCTCTTCAAGCTGATCGTTCCTGTCTAATTCTTGAACTTTAATACAAAAGACAAGGGAGGATGAAACCGCCCACTCTTGGGAGATTTGATTCTAATCCTTCTCCTCCACCCCTCACCTGCCCCATGCACAGTCCTAGGAAGACAAAAATCCACATTTTTTAATGATCAGTCTCCCTTCCAAAATGTCACCTGCTTCTAGTTGTGCTGAATTCAACTGACCGTTACCTTTTTCTGCCATCACCTACATAGGCAGCTGTATGCTACAGATTTTGATTTTAAAGTAATTCCCTGAGATTTCCAACAATTTTCAAGAGGTTCAGAGCAGGTCAGGGGATTGGACTGGATGATCTTTAACATCCCTTCCAACTCAAACCATTCTATGATTACCACATGCTACGTATGTTATGAAACATGCACAGGTACCAATTTTGAATTACAGTATTGACGCATCCCTCCCTCTTAAGACCTCATGATAAATGGATTTGAATCTAGAAGGCAGCTGTATCTTTAACTGCAGTATTTTAATTTTCAGTCTGGCTGCTGAAACAGAAACAGCCCTCAAAGATTTAGCCAAATCCTGACCTCTTAAAGTTCAGTAATAAAATAATACCAATCAGTCATCTCACTTTTAATTAAAACCTATTGCCCAGTGCTGCTTTAACTAAGAAGATATTTTAGAAAATTGATTATACCATTAAGATAATAGAAAACAAACAGATGATTTATTAGCAATCTGTCCCAAAACTCAATGTTTAGTAAACTTTCAACAGATGTTTACCACATTACAGCGGGATCTATGGTGTGCCTTAGTCTATCATTCAGCAAATTTTGAACAGCAACAGATAACAACATTTTGAGGGGAAAAAAAATTGAAGGCAAAAGTAGGATAATCAGATCACTAAAATAATTTTATTGTGAACTTCAGCAAGCAATAGCTGTGGCCAGGGAAACATAAAGTCTTTTTTCTTGCACCTTTAGATGCAACTGAGCATTTGTGTGATTTACCTCAGCGTTGCCCCATCTCTCCCTGAATGGAGCCTGCTCCTTGGTTTCAGTAGCAGGGTGGAAAGGAGTTTCACCAGTCAATTACGTGTTATGGGAGATGGTGTTTCCCTGTGCTAGGTGCGTGTTTTCCACTTTCCAGTGAAGTTCTTCAGCCATACAATAAAGAGCATAGAGATACTAGTTCAGCCTTTCGTTAATTTACGTATTTCTACCACTGCCCTTCTTAAACATCTGCTTTCTAAAATGCATGGTCTCCTTTTTTTCCCCACAAAAAAATGCTCTTCAAAAACATTTTATTCAATCCTTATTTCACCCTTATCTGAAACTTCTTAGCCTGCATTCGTTTTTCTCAGTAGGTAACGGTAACTCTGAAATCCATTCCAGAGAAGAACTTACCACCAGAAACACAGCATTTCTGTTATGCTCCATTCTGTTCTTGGTAATCTCATTGTTTGGGTTTTTTTGGCCATAACTTCAAAGAGCATTCCCTGACATACAGCTATATACCCCCTCCACCTCACTAACCCAAGGGTCTATTGGAGAACTTCACAAGCATTGCTGTGCCAGCAGCCAGTCTGCTGCTCAATTGACCACAGAAGGTCAGTCCTAAACCAAAGCACCAGTGTTTGTCTTCTCATTTACACCATTTCTCCTTATTTTTTGGTCCCTCCAACAGTTTTTCACCTATCCCAGCATTATGCTTCTTATCCCAGAAGTTTCAAAAAATAAAAGAAGAATTAAAATCCCAAATATATTTAATTCAGTTCTTTATTCATTGGTTTACTGAGAATCTCAGATGATGGTAACAGAATAGCAGAACAGCTTTCCTCTGCAGAAATTGGTCTTGCACATTACTATGTAAGTTGTAGGGTGCTTTTTTAGTTCTATTTTTAACTACGAAGTGTATTCCTTGGTCACATGAGCAGCCTTTTTAGCAAGCACTCTAAAAAATGCTCCCTTGAAAACTTTTCAGAGAGTAGACTCTTGAAAAACACAGGTTTACAGGTTCATGTTATTTAGGTGGTCACTTCATTCCTAAAGCACTTCAGAATGCTCTAGTTCATTCAAGTCAGGGTGGGTGACTCATGTCAGTTGGCTTCAGCAGCTCTTTTGACATGCCAAAAATCCATTAGCTTCATCAGCAGAAAAGAGCTGCCTTGTTACCTTTCCATTACCCTTTGGAGTGAACACTAAGGCAAAGAAACTTCCACATTTTCATTTTTCTTCATTTTTCTTTATTTCCCAGATCCTGTACCTCAGTTCACATCCATCCATCCAACGGCAGTGAACCACTACTGCTGCTAAGACAAGTGAACAAGAACCCAATGGCACTTGTGAGAGAGAGTCCATTTCACATTAACTTCCTGGAACCATTAAAAAAAAAAACCCAACCAAAAAAAGAGGAATCCAGGAAAGCAAACATTCTTCTTGGGTAGAAATGTCTAAAAGGTTCACAGGTTTGAAATGCAGAAAAATGCACTAAGCATTTGTTTGGATTCTCAGCTTCTTGTCTAGTAGTAAATGATCAAAACCACCTTAAAAACCTACTTGAGAATAACCTTTCCAGCCCATCCTCAGTTATGCTTCCAATAACCTTTAGAATCCACTTCCTGCTTTGATCCTTCAAATGTATCAAGCAAATTAAGCCCCATTTGCTTTCCCAGACTTCAGAAGAAACAGGCACTCTTCCAATAAGCTGAAGCCAACCTGTACCCTCATTTTTCCGTAGCTGACACCCTAGACAGTGAGAGTCAAATTAAGTGATAACTGTAAAAAAATATATTCATCCAAGCTGGGGAGAACACAGTGGCAATAGGGGTGAATACGGAAGCAGATATCATTTCCAGCTAAAATGGCCTGCAGAGCAGCCTTCACTGTATTCAGGGTACATTGTACAGATGTGCCACCAAGCCCTAGAGGGTACTGACCTTTGCAAAGCGCTCGGGGGGGAAGCCCTATCTCTTCACCTCACAACTGCTGAGGTCTGAAATGACCTCCCTGGTTTACCGAGTGTAAAACAACTCAGCATCAGACCACTGTGGAGTCTGCGCTTGCAATGATTATCTGTGTACTACAGGTTTATCAATGAGTTCATGCATTCACGTAACACACAAATATCACAAGTATCTCTGCAAATACCTGTCCCAGATGCCTGCACGTTACGAACATGAGGCTTTATTTTCTAAGAACACAAAGGCCAGAGTCAAAGTTAATTTTCATCTTTAATAAGCTCATGATTCTTCGTTATTTAATACTCTGTAAAAAGGTATTACAGATTGATAGATTATTGCAATGATTTCTAAAGAACATGGGCAGCCATGAGGCTGAAACTACAATATCATATACATTATGTAGTCATTGATACGATCTACTACAGCATGGAGAAAAATAATTCTAAAATAAACAATATTTAACTGAAAACATAGAAATTGAGCTTTCTTTCTTACAGTATGGTTACATATCTATATTCCAAGAATAACATTTTAAAAAATGCTAGATCTTGAAAGGTCATAGATAAAAAGTCATGACGAAGATGAACCAGTTTTGCCCAGAAATGCTATAATGAGCATACTGCACAGTTTTTCAGCAAATCCTAGTTTTGCCAAGCTTCAAGGGGCAAAGCCTGAAATGTGAAAAGCTTCCAAATTGCCTAGCTAGTCCGCTCGTCCTGCTCCAGAAGGCCCGGCGACCCACACTGCTCTGAGACAGCGCGGCACCACAACTGCTCTTTGCCGGCACGAACGCCACTGGGAAGAGATGGTTCGGCTCCTTATGACGCCAGGCCTAACAAAAAGCCTCCAACAAATCCGCTGGACACCACGATGTTCTGTTTGATGAAGTCTGTCGACTGAGAACAAAAATGATATTTAAGTCATCGTGCCTGATTGTGACACTGAATATTAATCACAATTGCCTGGAAACAACGATAGGGGAAGCAACATGTTTAAAAACATATAAAGCTAGGTGGCAACCGCTGCCACCAGTGGAGTGAAAACTACTCTCAGCTGTCTTTAACAACGTATATAAAATACTGTTAGCATTTTAAAAGTCAAAATACAGAGGAATTGTCATTGCAGTTTCATGCCAATAGCACTCTTGTTTTAATCAAAACAAGACAGATGTTTTACAAACTCCCTTGGCAAAAAAAAGCAAAGACTTTCATCACTTCAATTTTAATCACATGAAGAATGTTTAAAGAAATACTTGTTTTTGGAAAACACTTCACTCAGTTGAAAAAGAAATACGCTGCACTCCATTATGAGCCGCTTTCCTAACAACCTAACGCTACAAAAAACACTTACGTATGATGACATTTGTGTACAATATGTCATTAAGTTGTAGCACAGAGTACAACTTGTCATATCAAACATGGGGCATTTCATAAATCCTCCACTTTAAACACTTCAGATGGGTTACTAATGACGATGAGAGAAAAGTAAAATAATCTGGAAAAAAAAAGGAAAAGAAAAAAAAAAGGAACTACAAAAAACCCCATCCTGCCCCATCCATTTCTGCAGGGCAATGGAGAAGGACAGGCTAAGCTATTTGGGGTACAGAAGCAGCTAGAAAACCATCTCTCCTGAACTACCACTTCACATTCACATTAAAATTTAAGGTAATTTTTATCAACCTATGTGTACCTCCACACAGGTTAAATCTGAGATGTCAGAACTCAGTTACAGAGCACTGGTGTGGCTGCTGTAACATCACAACACATTCCAAGTCAGGACTCTCAGTTACTGAGAAGGAAACTGAGAAAATCTATATGAAATCTGACAATATATAAAAACAGCCTAAACATACTTTTTTTGGTTTTTTTTAAGATGATTACATGAAAGTCTTCAAACGACAGAATGGAATAGCCCCAGTGACACTGATCAGTATCACAGTCTTTTCAACACAGCACGCAACTGACAGATTCTGAAGTCAGATACTCTTCAAACTGTATAAAAATGGGATAAAACCCACAACTCTAGTGCCAAAGTAGTTATAGCTCTTCTTCAGAAAGAAAGGTCAGTCTTTTCCAACCAAGTAATTTTGTTATCAGCAGACTAAGAAGATTTGGGTTTGTCTTTGTAGGTACCGTGTTTTAACCACAACACCCCCAATTTTTTACCGTGTCATGACCTTGGCTTTCCCACAAGCCAAGAATCTGCAGAGCCGAACAGGCAAAGCCAACGGCAGCCCCTAAACCGTATCAGCTGTAGAAATGCATTAGCTTTGAAGTTTGTGTGTCATCTTTGAGAGCGAACAAAACAGAAAGCTAAATGAATAAAAGAACATACAATCTGGTAACTTATATAAAATATACAGCCAGAGCATTTCTGATGCCTTCCAGTTTTGCCCCTCCATTTTCAGCTCATCACCACCTGCAGTGGAAGGTAAGAGAAACTGGCTGGTACAAAACAGTTTGCCACCTTAGACTTACCTCTTCAATTAGAGTATTGATTTCAGGTGCTGCCTTATTTGCACGCTTTTTTAACTGCTTTTTTGCTTTGTTTACATCTTTTTCAACTCTCTTCCAGTCAACTTGTACATAACCGCTATGACTAGCAATCTAGGAAAATAAAGGGCATTTAGTACAGTTGCAGTCAACATTTTGAGTCAAAATACGGTATCTTAGTGCCTACACATTTTAAAAATATTTTTCTTTTTTAATTACAGATACAAGAAAAGACCATGTGCCAAATACAGCAGGTACTCTGCTTCACACACTAGTATTTTCCACAATACCAATTCAAATTGGAACGAGCAATGACAACATTCAGTAGACTACTGTTAATTTTACCACTTCTCTACTGTTTAGTTATAAAAGCTTTAAATAACAACTTTTTTTCTTCAGCATTTACTTTAACTTTACTTGTAAGAGAAGGAAAGAGAAGAGCACGTTCATAGGACATTGAAAACACTGAAACGCTGAAAAACTGTTTTATTTCAGCTTCTTTCAGTACTGTGGAAATCTGATTTGTGACAGATATTTGGGACTCATCAGAATCATCCCTAGAAGTACTTAAAAATACTATTATATCCTGCATCATTTAAACTGTCCAGGAAAAAGGACTTCACGCAAGAGAACTCTCATACTTTCTACAAAACCACTAAGTAGAGAAATAACAATGCCCTTGCACAGCCCAAGTTCTGTAACATCAGCAAAACGGGCAAGTTTTGGGGGTTTGTTCACACCAATTTGCACTCAAACTCCCAAAATGCTTAAACAACACCCATGAGATTTTTAGCACCTTTAATCACCATCTCAACCCTTCACCTTATTTCTCTTACTCAGATTTGATCCTGGAAAAAAGTAAGATGTTCTGTTACTTGACCAACACAGACAGCTCCCACCAATTTCCTTAAAACAATTTATAAAAGAAAGACATATTTAAACTTTTATAAGATCAAGGCTTATTAAACAACCCAAAACCCAGCCAATTACTGCCTGCTCTAGAGAACAGTTAAACAACTCAGAGTTGGGGGGGAAAAAGAGAGGAAAAATCAAAACTAAGGATTACTGCTGTTTTTAACAGCTAAAACAAATAGACACAGACTGAATTTAAAGATAAACGACTGTTATAAAAAAAACAGTTTATGAAGAATAATATTTCTCAGCTGCTACTTCGGGTCATGTTTAGTAAATTCATTTAACTTACATATGAGTGTTCTGTGCAAAAGGTACAACTAGTAAATAAAATTCAGATAATTATGTTTTTGGAACTGATATTTAAATATACATTTTATTCATTATGGCATAAAAAGAACTGTTTGACATCACTTACAAGCACCGAATTTTATTTTTCACATAGTTCTTTCTACCAAATAGCTAAAATTAGACCACCTGTTTCAAAACAGCCACAATAGTTAAGCAACATTTGTCCTGAAAGAGGTTCCCAAAAGACCACCTATGTAAGAAAGTAAACTTCAGTTTCCAACTTTGAACAAGACTTAAAAAACAATTCACTGGGCAAGTGCAAAATGAACTTATTAAATCTTATACTGTCCTTGACTTCATACCTCAGAATATAACAAATTAATTGACCTTGCCTCTCTACTGTAAAGCCATTTATCTACACAGGCGCTGGTGTCAGGCAGGGATGGCTACTTAAGGACTGTCTATACGGTATGAAAACAGGAACAAGCCATTGGATGACACACCAGGAAATAAAATGCTGTGCACTGGAGTATTTTCTATATTATCAACTTAACATTACCACAAGAATTTCAAAAATGCCCAAGTGTTGAATTGGTGCCTTCTAACTCATAGAACTGAAAAATAAATATGGGCTGATCTACCCAGTGCAACACAATGTAAGAAATGCTAATACACTTGCTTGCTTGTAAGTTGTAAAAGTACAAGGATTACGCAGAATTTAATTAAGTACTTACAACTCACATTTGTATCAACACTCCAGTTTACACAATAGAAGTTATTCTACTTTTCTCCCTGAACTTAGTAGCAGAAATCTTAAGTTCTGCTTTTCAGTTTTTGTACACATCTATGAAATAAGCAGGAGAGGAATAAAAGTTTTGAATATAAAATTTGTAACACAGAAGAAAAAAGCCACAACAGCACTTCCCTGCAGTGACAGTCAGAGCCTGTCTCATATCTACTTTGGCTCCAATCCGACTAATTGTATAACTTTGTATGTAAGTGCAGAAATAATCCTACTGAGTGCAAATGTTGGTGTGACAGACTTCAATTTTTAGACCCCGAACACACCTTCTTAAAAGTTCATTAGTATTTTTAAACCCAGCTCCTACAGCAACAAACTAAAATAATAATATTCCATTATCAGCTCCATATGTAAATATATTAAGGAATCATCTAGGTCTATACACATATACAGATTCTTGAAGAGCTATATGCAGTTGTGTGTATATATTTATCTATAATATACAGAAATATATATATATAATATAATGGAATAATAAATACATATTATATACATCACTTTTTCATGTATCACATCAGTAAAGTTTATTTTTGTTCAAGATCTTCCAGAACTGTCGAAAACACAATGGATTATTTTCCAAAAAAGCAATTGAAAAAAAAAAAAAAATCAATGCAGGATTACTAAAAATAGATGCATCTTTCTCTACACCAATCAAACAGAGAATCAAATGGGAAGACCTCATTTTGGGGGTGATACTGGAGAGGCATGCAAGTACTTTGTTACTGTGAAACATTATTAAGGGTAATGACCAAAAAATGTTTAAAAGCAAAAAGGATATATGGCAAGATGGGACAAAAGAGGTTTTAATTTCCTCAAAGACAAATTCTCCCACACTAAGAAGCCCAACCAAGTGCAGAAGCTGCATGTGAGCTCCTCATGCTCAGCTGGTTGTGCAGCAGACAGAAGCCATGTATATGTATAGGTACTTCCAGGAATTTGCTGGTATTTAGGTAGGGATCAACCCCCATCACACTCAACCAGTTCCCAGAACAGATCTGACAGGTCTCTGACTTCAGTAGACAGAGACAAGGAGGGACTGAGAAATGATACAACTGTTTTTAAATGGCAGAGGCTGTCTCTTCAGCCACTGCAGGCTGGCACAGCTCCACTGTCGCCAGTGAAACTGCTCCAATTTGCAAAGGCAGAGAAACGATGTCCCTGCATTTCAAGTCAAAACCTGCCAGAGATGGGGCATTTTCTTAAACTTTGAACTACCATTTGCTTTGGCTGTTCCATCAAGCGTTCCCTCAAAGCCTGCAGAGATCAACTGCGCAGTGGGATATTCAAGGCAAAACTGAAGAAAACCCTTTCTTTTAAAGTCCCCAACCCCAGAAGCACGTTGTCCTCTCCCCAATTCACTGAGATGCCACAATGTCACCATGGCATGGTATCAGCAAACCCCCACACAACATACAGCCAAAGAAAACTAAGAGGTTATTTTGCTTCTTGTGTTTTTTTCAAAGGTTTCCTTCAGTTGGAAAATAATTCAACGAAGAACTGAATTCATCAATAGCATGCTAATGGGGAATGAGGCCAAATATATTAGTGAAAGTGACCAAACGAAAATACAATTTTATGACTAAATAACAGTCAACACACAATGGAAAAGCCTGCACTTTGTGTGTTGACTGCAGAGCAAAGAGCAACGAAACCATTATTAGAGATACAGAAATTTAAAAACACCAAGAACAGGTGCTCATCAAGAACAATTGTTTTTAACTAATTCATTATAGCAGAACCGCATGAGTCCATACTTCTCTACTCTTCAGGATTTCACTACACTCTGTGCTGTATAAACCAGAAGTTATAAAAGGAAAATCCCTTACTTGCTATGAAACATGACTTGTATTTTCCTTAATATAGTGCATGGGTAATGGTCTCATACCAGCACATATGAAGAGCTACACCTATTTCAATAAAAAGATAGTTAACTGATCAAGTTAAGCTGTTGATGTGTCTAGCACAGAGATGCGATAACAGATCCTGATTTTGAAAGGCTACGCAAATTCCTTAATGTGATATTTCTTCTCTTTCTCAGACTACTTCTCATTTAATCTGTATTACGACTGAAAAATTTCTAGATCACTTTAAAAAATCTCTTCTGTTTCTTGTACAGACACTCCAGAAATGTATTGCTTTCAGTTTCCTACTGGATTTCATGAGATTAAGTCATCATACGCTGAACAAAAAGTGCATTTTTTTTTTAGCTTCAGGACTGAAATGTTTCACTGAATGGGCTTTAGCCATAAGTCTTGCCTTCTGTAATTCTTCTTTGTTTAGCAGGTAATTACAACGTCAATATTGCAATCAGGAGTTGAAATGAAATCTGCAACTTCAGATAAATTTACAGATAAAAAAGAAGTTTCCAGTCATGCGCTGAAATGCTCCTCTGCCCACTCAGGGGAAGCGCTGAACGTGTATTCATAGGAAAATTCAACTCACGACATGTGATCTTTAAATGAAAAGATTAAAGACTACAGAAATGTAATTACACTATAGAATTTATGACTCAGCTCTAAAATGCAAAACGTTTTGAATTAAAATGAAAGACCAAGGCACTTACTTCATTCCCTTCCAAGAGAATCTGATCTTACTTAATTAAAGATATAGACAACTCAATCAAAATATGCAACTCTTTTTCCTCTTGGATAATATTCCTTTTCAGATACACTGTAAATGAGATCAACTAAGAAATCAGACACTCAGACACATGGCAAATCTGTTTTGTGTACAGGAAAGCTCCTCAAACTTCACAGCTCAGCAAGCAAAAATACTGCACAACTAATGTGTTTTAAAACAGTTGGGTTTTGTTTTCTTTTGTCTACAGGTCTTAGTTTCAACTTTTCAGCTTCCTGCAGTCAGAGGTACTGTTGAAGGTACCTGCGGGCAGCGTTCTGCCTGCTACTCCTGGATGCCAGGCCTCTGTTCTGCAGGCTCTTAAGTCATATTTAGGTAAGAATTCTCACCAAAAGAATTAGGACCAATGGCATGCAGTATTGGAAGAGAGATTCTGATCTTTAAGTCAACTAGATGAAAAGCATGACAAGCACTTCAAGATTCACTGCATATATGTGTGTGTGTATATATATATATGT